TTATAGCCTAATTATAATCCATTGTATACTATCTCACATTTTGTTCACTTGTTTATCAACTGATGGACATTTGGTAGTTGTTGCTTTGTGGTTATTCTGGGAAGTTTTGCTATGAGTATCTGCTGTGAACATTGAGAATTGAATTTCAGTCCTCTTGGTTATCCATCTAATGGTGGAACTGTTGATTCATATTTAAATCCCTGTTTAGTTGTGGAAGAACAGTATATCTTTTAACAAAGTGCTCTCATTTTACAATGGGATTCCAATTTCTGCACATACTCAAAATATTGGTTATCATCTGTTTTTATAATTGTAACTGTTTTACTAGATGCAAAGCAGTATGTGATTGGGATCTGTATTTGCATTTATCTAGTGAATAATGGTTTTGAACATTTCTAATGTGTTTTATTGACCAGTTTGGGGATGAAATGTGTACTGAAGCCTTTTGCTCATTTTCGACTCAGTTCCTCTCATTCAGAAGAATTCTTCACACATGCTGATACAAAACATTACTCTGATATGTGGTTTGCAAACATTTTCTCATTAGGTGGTTAATTTTCCTTGTGCTGTGGCATCCTTTGAAGTAAAAAGTTTTCCATTTTCACTATACACTGTTTGTCTAATATCTTCTTGTGTCTTTTGTGCTTTTTGTCTCATCACAGCTAAAAATGCTTGATCAGGAAAATTTGTCTTTATTTGCCTTCCTAAGAGTTTTATAATTTATTTCCTACATTTTGGTCTTTGATTCATTTGGGGTTAATTTTTGTATATGGTGCGAGGAAAGGATCCATATGCAATTTTTCCATGTGGCTATCCAATAGTCCTAACACTATTTGCAAAAAAGCCATTCTTGCCTGGCGTGGTTGTGCACACCTGTAATCCCAGCACTCGGGAGGCTGACGCAGGAGGATCACTGAAAGTTCGAGAGCAGCCTGGGCTACAAAGTGAGCTCAAGTCCAGCCTGAATTGTATGGTGAGACCCTGTCTCAAAGACAAAAAAAATTTAAAAAATTAAAAAGCCATTCTTTCTCTTTGGATTATCTTTGCACCCTGATCAAAAATCAGTTGACTATAAATATAAGGTTTATTTCTGGATTCTCAAATCTGTTCCCAGCTTGTGTGTTTGACATTATTATTAGCCTTACCAACTACTGGTTTTGGAGTAATTTTGCCATTGGGAAGTTGAGCCCTCATTTGTACTTTCGTTTGAAGATTTCTTGGCTATTTTGGCTTTGGTGCATTTCTACATGATTATTAAGAGCAGCTTGTCAATTTCTGTAAAAGCCAGCTGGAATTGCATATACAACTCCAAAAAGTGATAATCTTATTAATCTTAAAGTATATACTTCCTACAGAAGGATAAATCTCTCCTTATAACTTCGTAAAGATTTATAGTGGGTGAGACTTACTGTAATGACTTAGCCGAGATGAGAGAAACTGGATCTGGGGTAGGTGGGAGTTTGAACGCCTTCTGAGGCAGTGAACCAAAAGATACAAGTGACATTTCAGCAGACTCAAGAGGAAGCGACTGAGACCGGCATGTGCAGAAATAGTGCTCCCAAGAGACAGAGGGCACAACGTCGGCTGCACTGGCATCTGCAAGCACACTGGCACTTTGAAAGCCAAGGATCCACTCTGACCATGGGGCTGATGATAAAAAATGACTCAAACATGGTCAAAAACCAGATTTTGAATCATCCATCACTGAAGTTTACATGTTCACCTTTTAAAGGCTGTTTTACATGCTGACCAAAAATTTTGATTGCACTGCAGAATGGGAATTTAAGATATGACTAACACATACTTTTAATAAATGTGTATACCTCAACATTTCAAGAGGGAGGGTTGGTAGGATAACTGTTAACAGAAAAGCCAAATGTACAGTTTTAAAATATCAGTAAAAGAAAAATAATGATATCACCGTAGATCGTCAGAAACATGTTTGTCCACGTGATCTATCATTTCGGCAGACTCCACAAGGAAACATGTGCACTGGATTGTTTAGATCTACCAAGCAGCCAGCTCCTACTCCCATTTTCACAGCTGATGTTCAGAAATATCTCAGGACCTCCAGCTTTGTGGGGAGGGGAGGATTTCACTAAGTCTCTTAAGTTGCCCCCCAGCTTGGCTTTCACTTGTAATCTTCCTGCCTCAGCCTCCCCAAGTGCTGATATTCTAGGTGTGTACTGCCATGCCTAGCTTCCCTGGGTGTTTGATTCCATATTTGGACCTCACTTGTTCATTTGTACATTCACTTGATTTAAGCTGTGATGCAAACTGTTACTAAAACGCCAGTTTGATTCAGAGCCTACCTGGGCACCGAGGAGAGAAGAATGAAATTTTTCCTGCTAAGAATCTCATTAGAGTAAATGTCTACCAAGAAAAGCAATGATACTACAATACGGAAATATTTACAGCTAGGATTCTAGAGCACGGGGTCAGTGGAAGAGTGGAGGGGAAGGCTCGTGTGAACTAAGCTGCGGCGGTGACTGAGACAGGGTGAGCGCAGGACGGTGCTCCAACACAGCCGCCCGAGCAAGAGCAGCTGGCCATCTCTTCCGGACACCACAGGATTCGCGGGGCTGCGCTGGGCCTCACGGTGCAAAGTGCAGGCAGAGCGGTAAATGGTGGGACTGTGAGGGATTCCGTGCGCCCCGCAGAGCTTAAGGCTGAACCTTGGGGTGGTCCGTCGTACACTGTGTGCACGTTAGCCTGTGCGTTTGCCTGAGAAACACCCTGTTCAAGGTGAGGAGGACGCGGGAGGGGAGAGGAGCAGGGCCGAGCAGGACAGAGGCTGGAGGCCGTTGCGGGGTGGAGCAGATGGGGCCTGGCCGGGACCACAGTGGCACAGGGCTGCAGGCAGGTAAGTGACACGGATAGGGAAGAAAAGGCGGCAAGTGAGCCCCGTGAGGACCACAGAGGGACCAAGCAGGGAGCCAGGACGCAAAGCCGTCCATCCGTGAGACGGAATAAACACGTCTCCCTAAGTGTCGAATGAGGGTTTACTGCACCTCAGAGGTGGGGACTTTGGGAGACAGTTAGGCCAGGGGGTGCGCTGTGCCCAGGACCTGTCCCCCTTTCTCCCCAGGTGGGCGCACAATGAAATGTGCGCCTGCGGGCTGGCAGGAAGGAGACCCTCACCGGAGCAGCACCACCCCGGCACCCTGCTCGCACACTTCTGCCCAGAAGAGCAGTGAGAAGTAAATGTGCTTCTGAGCCACAGGGTCTGCGGGACTTTGTTACAGTAGCTGGAACTAAGAAACTGACTCTGCGTTTAATTTGTGCACTCCTTTTCGAAGTAAAGAATGATATATTTGTAATTTTTAGCTGCATCGACAGACGAAGTTCTCCAAAGATATAGGATGTTACATCATCCTTTTGGAGATAAGGCTCCTAGGTGAACTGCAAAACTTGTGTTTCAGGCCTTTCCGTCAACCAGCTGCACGCCCGAGTCCCCGCGTGCGGAAAAGCGAGGAGGTCACCCCAGCGCGGCTTCGGGCAGCCTCCCCACTCTGTTCCCCGCGTTTTCCCAGTGCACAAAGGAGTACTGCGCGGGAGGGCGGTGGGAGTGAGATGCAGAAAGGAAAAATGTAGGCAGGAACACCCGCCTCCGGGAAACAAAGTGTTGCTCTTTTCGTGGAATGACTATCACCACGCAGTACAGGCTCCCCCTCAGGCCCACGTGTGAGTCCCGGTCCTGGGATTTAAAAAGTAAAGTGTGGCCAGTAAAGTTAGGACCTCACGGACCTGTGAGGAGCTGGGATCACGGCTGTCATTAGTGCGTAGCCATGAGTTCCTTTCTTCGTAAAATACACAATAAGGGCTCCGAGGAACCGCTCAGAGGAACCTCTCCGAGGAACCTCTCAACGGAGAGCAGCCAGATCACGCCCACCCTGCTGCCTGGCCACAGTGCACGGGACGCTGCCTTTGTAGGGTCATTTCTTGTGAGCAGCAACATGTTATAAGGAAAAGAAAACTAAATACTAAAATAATGAAAGGGAGAGGACGTGTCCGTCCGAGATAGTGCGCTGGACTGAACACAGTTAAATGGGCGTTTACCGCAAGACTCGGTCCTCCTTATGGTGCTAATGAGTGGTGAATCCGCTCCTGCTCTGCGGGTTTCCAGGAAGCATTGTTAAGCTCCCTCCCGGACTTTGTAAGCCTGGGACAACAGTATGAGGGTTGAAGGAAATGAGACAGAACACCTGTATTTAGTTTCTTCGTTCGGCGTGCAGGGGCAGGCAGGGCAGAGTGTAAGATCTAGGGCCACAGCTGGAGGAGCAGTCTGAAGAGGGCGTGCCTCTGCACCAGACAAGATGAAGACTCCAGCCCCCGCGGTGCGTGCTGATGAGCCCCACCTTGAGTGCAGGTAGAATGCTTCCGTCTGCACATCAAATTAACTTCTATTCGCCCCAGTCCACAGTCACCACTGACAGTGAGGGCAGGAACCCGAAGGCACAGGGCCCCCAGGCCAAGACTCGGACTGTCACAGCACCTATCACTACGCATGTCTAAATCACAGCGTCAAAGTCAAGTGCGGTTTATCAGAAATCAAGGCGAGGATCAGCGACGGGCTGGGCCACACGGCTAAGATGCCTGGGATACAAGAGGCGAGGGGTGCAAAGGCCCCTCCATAGAAACGGCCCATTTGCTAAGCATCTGCCTCCAGCGGCTGGCTGTGCACTTGTCCTTAATTGGTTTGGAGGGGTACTATGGGTTTCAGAAGCAATGAGAACCACACTGGTTGTTTTGGCTGGAAACCGCAGCCAGTCACAAGGCAGTGGACATCCACGGGTTCCAGCTCTCCGGGGAGGCCCAAGCAAATGTGCCAGGGTGAAATTCTTACGTCAAAAATGTCTAGTACCAAATGTACTGAGTTTCCAAGCAGGCAAGTACCAAGGCAGGACAGCAGAGCTTTGCATAATGAAAACCATGGTAACACGCAACGAACGCGCTCATGTCCATGGAGACTACAAGATAAATCTTACATCCACACTGAGTTTCTCCCCAAAATAGCCATCTTTTTTTATTTGATGATTCAATACAGTTTTAATTCAAATAGTCACCACATAGCCTAGGCACATTACTAAGCATTTTACAAGCAAAGTATTTTACCAATTTTCTTCCCAATTGCCAACAAGTATAATAAGTGAACTGGTTAAAGGATATACTTCTGTACATAAAAAAATCCATGTATTTATACAGGTGTATGGAACAGAGTTTAAGGGTAATAAAAACCATAGCATCAAAATAAATAGCATGTGTTCCTACTGCATTACACGGCATCCTGTGTCGGGAAGCTGATCCTGTTTTACTCAGGTGAAATACATTTTTCTGAGCTAGGCTCATTTTCCCCAAAAAAGGGTTTCGCTGTTAATGATGAGCTGAATGTCTGTTTTTCATAGGTTGCTTTTTACCTGCATTTAGAATATGATCATTATTTCCCCAAAAGTGTTTGTGACTTACAAGAAGTGTGACTTCTATTGATTTCCCACTTCCATATTTTAAAATACAGATTAATCTAAGCTCTAGCACCATACAAGAAGGAAATACATGTATTTTTTGTCAGAGCAACAATATTTTATATCATCTTTGTTCTCTGGCTATAACAATTGTTTAGAAAAAATTTACCAAGCTAAAAATAGTTGATCTAGGTTGTCATAAAAAAGAATATTAAATACCTTTGGTAAAAATAGATATATTTAACAAGATTAGAAAAGCCAACAGTTATAATGTCAAAAGGAGAATATGAAAATGTACACAATAAAACAAATAAGCCAACTCAGAGATAAAGTGAAGGCCACTCTCTTCTGTTCAGGTTTGTCTCTTCCAAACCATGAATGTAGTTCTCTTCTTCCAAAAGGCAGATGTTTTATTAAGAAATATAGAAAAATCCAGTCTTTCCTATCAGCGTGACACCAGTTTACTTCATAGCAACATAGTTCCTCTTGAAAAATCAAGTTCATAGAACATTCTAATTTATATCTGTGAAAATAAGGCAAAAAATATTCCAGATTTCCCATGACTTTAGGCCCAAAACAAGGAGCTGTGGAGTTAAGCAGAGCAACAGAACGAGGTGTTCACTTGTACAGTTTTTCCTTTGCTGACTTAACTTAAGCCGCATCCAGATAGCTGCAATACAGAGCATAGTGAGTGGGCATGGGACACTCTGACTCTGAGACGAGCGTGTGAGCTGCACCACTCAGTTCTTCTCCGGGGCGGGTGACCTTGTCCCCGTGCTCTGGCCCCACTCTTCACAAAGGCACTGCTGTGCACCTCCTAATTCCATTTGGTGTCTCTTCCTAGAACACACTGCACATCCTGCAGATGGAAGGTCCTCCTCCAAGCAAACTAAGACTGTGGATGAGATAAGGCATGAGTTCTCAAGCAGAGTCAACTGCACCTGGCCGCTCCGGGGAGGCGCTGGCCCCAACACTGTTATCCCCCGGCATTCCCTCGGCAGACACAGCCACACTCCTCGTGGTGCTCCAAGGCAACGTCGGTGAGGGATTTGTGCAGGCCCCGAACCCCAGCCTTTGGTCTCAGCTGCAGGACCTGAAAGGGAAGGAAGCAAAGCACCTTGCAGGTCAGTCAGTGTCTGTCATGCTTGATCTCATGCCCAAATAACTGTGGAAAAGAACCTTGGGGCCTCCCAGTGAAGGCATCGTGTAAACATCCTTCTACCCTAGTGCAGTCATCAACTGCCACCACCCTTTCATTAAAGAAATGAGACTTCCATGCCAACAATCTGGAAGCACACAACCTCGGAATAAGAACAGCTCTCACACTCAAGGACTCGCTATGTGCTCCTGGGGTTGTTTGTGTGAGTATGCTGCTGAGAGCTGCGCCTCACATGTTACGGAATCGCCTGTGTGCAGTTTGTTTTCCTGTTTGTTAGTTTCTTCCTGTCCTTCATTTACTCACACATTTACCAAATATTTATCCCCGGAGCGGTACGCTGCAGTCCAGGAATACCGCGGGAAGGAACATGATCACTGCACAGCTGAGCCTGTTCAATTATGCCACTCATTAATTCCTTGGCTCCAGCTCAAGTCCTCCATAAAGCTGATGGGATGGATTAGATGTACCGCATAGACATCAGCCTCAGTCACAGCTAACTCTCTGCAGCTGGACCCTACTGTGCGGCGTAAGGAAGTTTGGCCCTAACAACAATGGGCCCTCTATGAAAGGAAGGTATTTGCAGTTTGGATGGCTGCACTTTTTAACAAAAACAGAAAAACAGACACCCAAACTAACCATATTTCCTTTTAAGACTGTGGCAGAGGGATCTATCTGTGTATTCTAGCAAAGATTATCCCAAGTATTCGATAGCAATTGCCTGTCAAGTGTGACATATTTTATTTCTTATACTAGAGCTAGTCATACTTCAGCAATTATGTTTTGTTAGGTTGTGAACAAAAACCAGGGCTCACAAAATAAAATCGTTTAGCGTCTCTGCTTTCTAGGTGTGACACAGAAAACTTCACGAAGCAACTCTGACAAGCTAACTACCATCCTCGTAAATTTTCATTAATCCACAAAGGCGCAAGTCAAGTCTTGTGACTATTCTGTTTGAAGACTTACAAACGAAAACTACAGAAAGTGAACTTCATTTGCAGTTTGTGGGCCTATCAGTGGTTAATTAGCTAACATTTTTTGAATACTTACTGAGTGCCAGGCACAATAATAATGTGTTTTTACGTACTTTAGCTCACAAGAATTCTATGAAGTAATTTACAATTATTATCCCTATTTTACACATGAGTGAGCACAGGCTTAGAGTGACATAGTTATTTGTGCCGGGGCCAAATAGAAATTATTAAAGTAAGAGTGAGAGAGAATATTTTTATAAAGGCTAGAGTGTTGCTACTCACTCTAGTTTTTTAGTAACTTTCTCCTAGCCAGATAAACTTCAAAGTTATAACTGTTAAAATTAGCAAACCTGGGGAGCAGGACTTTCCATCAGTTCTAGAACAAAAAATTATGAAGACTATGATTCTACAATGTGAAACTCAACACTGACTGCTGAATGCTCTGTGACATCAGTGCTGATTGAGTTTTTGGTTTCAGTTTTGGGTTTTTGAGATAGGATTTCACTACATAGTTCAGGCAGGCCTTAAACTCGCTTATTTAGCCCAGACTGGCCTAGAACTCATGGAGATCTTCCTGCCTCAGCCTCCAGAGTGCTGTGGTTACAGGACTGCACCACCACACCTGGCCAGCGCTGACTGAGTTTTGTACAACTAGAGAGCCAAGCAAACCAAGGCCATCTCAGACCCTGGTGCTACTCACTCCCATCATGCTTATGTGGTGAAGCCTTCCTGGAATGAAGGTGGGTGGGTGAGGTACACTGCGACACTGACACAGCCCGTGTCTTCAGATGCTATCACCACCTGCGGGTGTTTCTTCATTCAGCCAGGAAAAAAAGAGTAACCAAGGTAGATGAGAAAGGCCGCCACCATGGACAGTCCCGACATGTGTGAGGGCCGTGCTCCTTGCTTTCTTTAATCCATTCATGTCAGGCTGGGTTTCCTGAATGAAACTCAGCTCAGCTCCACCCACGCATGTGTCCCTGTCCGCTGCTCTCCTTGGGGATGTGTGAATAGCAGAGAAGTCTCACGATGCTCTAGCAATTTTAAAAGTCTGGGAGGAGAAAGTCTAACCCATGGTGGGAGATATTATGAGTGTTTTCCCTTGTAATGCTTTGGGAAGTTTGGATTTGGGTAAAAAGAAGTAGGCTTGGAAAATGACCAGTAGGTCTTAGGGAAGATTAAAGAGGAAAATTTCAGGTTCAGGATGGGGATTTGAAAAGAAAGCAGGCAGAAGCGCAGCACACAGAGCCCTGAGGGGAGACTCAGGGTGTGGTGTAAATTTTTTAAAAAGCTGAGCAGCAAGTTTACAGTAAAACTATAAGCACATGAAAAAGAAATGTCGGCAAGTTTCAAGCCAGAGACTGAGAAGAGAACAGACAAGATAGAGAAAGGATCACCAAGGAGAGCAGCACAGCACACGCGCATGGTGACCCTAACCTTTCAGGATCAGGAGCACTGAGAAGGGGACCAGGCCAGAGAAGAGCGCGGCAGGGTTCGTTTCCCTACAGGCAAATGGATCTGAGCTTCCCTAGAAAGACTCCTTCAGCTGATGCAAAATACACTAAACATATAAAGATACCCCCAAGGTGAAAATCATTAGGCTAATTAAGAATAGAGGAGAAAGCTCTTATTTAGTGTTTTCTTATTCCCAGAAATCTTCTGACCAAAAGAATGCTTCTCCTTCATCTGGCAAAGTGCGTTAAATCATCACTGACCATTCACCATAATTGCAGGAAGAGGGAGACAAAGGTGAGTGAGAGAACAGCTAATGTCCCAGGGGTTTAACACGTGCCAGCCCTGGGTCTAAGGGTTTTGTGTCTCTGCTCAGCTCACTGGGCCCTCACCATTCCAGAGGAGGAAACCGAGCCACCAAGATTATATAACCCAAAGTCACACAGCTAACAAACGCTAGACTCAAACCCGGAAGTCTCTCCCTGGATTTGTCTTCTCAGGAACTACATTGTATTATGATCTTTGTTTTCTTTAGCTCTCAATTGGGTAGAAACAAAGGAAAATAGACCCTGATTTTGAAACTGCGCAAGTTCGCTCCCGTAGCTATCTTTACAGGGCCGGCGTGCACTGAGGGGGCCTGTGTCATTGTGTGCAGACAGGCAGGACTCTAAAAATCGTTCTGAGGGAGAAAGACATACAAGCTTACACATACATGAAGCACCTGATTCACTTTCCTGAAAACTCCTCCTTAGGACATAGAGAAATTATTGAGGAAATGTATTTCTCTGACTACAATATCTCTAAAAAGGGATCCAGTCATCGATACGAAAGCAATATGAATCCTACAAATCACTTTATGAATAATATTATTATGCTATAACGTGATGATGTATTCACGAGCCTTTTAATTTTCACAATTTATTCAACCTTAATAATCATGGGAGCTGGGAGAGTGATGAATCAGGTGTATGAGAACTTCTAAACTCTCTCACTTTGCTTCTATCTCCACAAAATAGAGAAATCTTTCAATTTAATAACTGGGAAAACCAATAAAAAGAATTAAAGTCCAAGACATAGGCTTGCCTTTGAATGAACTAATTCTGTAGCTCTCAATTAATGGTGTTCAATTATTTAATAATTTTGAACAATTTTAAGTTATATTTAAAAATAATTTCATTTATTTATTAGAGGGATTAGACTTGAACTGCAACATACAAGAATGAAAGAAATTTAGGTCTCTGAAATTCTCAAACATGTCAACAAACAGGCCTTTCTCCAAAAGATAAATCTACTAAAATACTACCACAAAACAACTGATGATTCCCAAAATACTGGGGCATTATACTCCATTATACCTTCACTACAAGTAGACCATATGATTTTATAATTATATTTCTTTATACTTAGATATTACAGATATTTGTGAGAAACTAATAGATGGACATCAATACATAATGAAAAAAAGTTTCCTTAGTTGTACATAGGTGTACACAGGTAAACAGTGTGTCTATAACCTACTCCACCCAGGGATGCTGGGAAAACTTCCCAAGTGCACACATCCAAACCTAAGTGGAAATAAAACAAAAGCTACCAGCACCTTGAAGGCCTTAAACAAGTTGGATTACCAGCGAAACTGGATCTGTTTCATCGGAGGTCCCCAACCTGAACGACTACCGGGAGAGCGTCCTCAACTCTGGGCCTCACCAAGCCAGCTGCACGGCCAGGGCAGAGAGGGCTGGAAGCCCCAGGCTCACAGGCAGGGGGATGTGCAGAGGAGAGGAGCAGGATGAGGAGGATGGGGAAGATGAGTAGAGCCAGGAGGAAGACTCCTGAGGAGGAGGACGAAGATGGAGCTGTAGAAGGGGAGGAAGATGGAGGTGCGGTGAGGAAGAAGACTGGGACATGATGGAGAAACTGATGATGAAGATGAGGACCAGGACTGAGAGGAGGAAGACAGCAGGAAGGGGGAAAGGGGGAAGAGAAACAGATGCTGATAAAGAAGATGACACCGACCCAAATAACCTGTAAAAACGCAGCTCTGCAGTGTTGCTTGGCGTGCTCATGGATTTTTAGCTGTTTTTTGAAATTTTTTAAAAAAGAATTAGCTGGAAAAGCAACCCCAGGACACCCACCCACATTTCGCCCTCCTCCATTCTGTCCCTCTCGGTAATCCACCACGAAGCACAGGGACGTTGCCCCAACAGAATTATCGCATCGCTGGGCTTTCGCATGAGATCCTGGCGGAAGCAAGTACAGCCGTGATTGCAAGCCCACCGCTCCTGGTGACCCCTGCGCTGAGACTGGAAAAGCATTTTCACCCTCTGTAGAGCGAGAAGCTTTGCGCTAAAATCTTAACACTTTGAAAATAATAAAATGAAACTTGTAAGTGTGCAATGTCTACAGTTCCCAAGGCTTTAAAATAGTAAAAATTATTCATACTCCAGCTTATATTTTCCCTAATCCATGAGAATCAAGTACCTACTTTAATACTTTAAAATTAGAATGATTTTAGGTGGGAAAGGACCCTTCCAGATTCATCCGTATCCTGATTGCATCTTCTAACATTATGCTGGGCAATTCTAACATCTGCCCCGCCTCTGCGGCATTCTAACTCTGACGTTGTTGGAGAATGGCTGCATTACAGATGCCGTCGCTGTTGCTGATTAAATTCCAGGTCAGGGATGGGCCGGAAGGCTGGCCTGCGCGGACACCGCCCAGAGCTCCGAACCACTCCACCGTGCACTGCTGCGCTGGCCCCCAGACCAGCTACTTCTTGCAACTGAGACAGACTCAGTTCCTAAAACAGGGACCTCTAGAAACCTGGGGGTGGGCATGAAAGCTGAGCACAAATAATGACACAAATAATCCTGTTTTTATTACAGATTCTTACTTCTGGGTGTTGCCTTCTAAAATACTGCCATCCAGTAATGGCTAGGGAACGGTGAAGGTAGGAAAAACCTGAGAGAATATCCCATCTCCCACTATTCCGCAAAGGTTAAGCATCCCGATGATGGTCACAGGGAATGGTACATCTCAGGTGGAAACAGGGCCTCTTGTCTTCCGGAAATGGAGGCTTTCATGTCCTGTTTTCTCAGGTGACAGCAAGCACTGATGAAGCAGTGGGAATCTACGTCCCAGGAAGCACAGTTAACGAGACCACATGTTTAAATTTCCTCGCACACGAGGGGTTCTCCAATGTCTTTCTTCAGTAGTTACTTATTCTGCATTGCTTCCTTTGAAGCAAGAATTTAAAATAGGAAAGATATATTGAAGTGAGGTCAGAAGGGCAGATTTTGGCTTGGTATAAAGTAAGTATTTTATAGAAATTAAAAGTGACTCATCAGAAAGGCACTTTGATGTATGCATGCCGCACGGCGCTGGCTGGAGAATGCAGCATTCAGCCAGGGATATTCCGGCATTAATGAGCATTTCAGGTGCATGAGGCTGACAGCTCGCAAGGCTTTCAAAGTAAGATTTACCAATATTCCATGTTATACTTTCCTTAATTCCAGAGAATAAAGGAGTGAAAGGGTGAAAAAGATTCATAAGACACTGAGCTTGTTATTTGAGGTGACCTAAATAACACAAAGAGTATTATAAATGTGAGTGTGTTCTCTTGGGATTTATGTGCCCATTGGGGTCCAAATATAAAAACAAATTTCAAAGATCTCCTTTTCCAAAATAGACAATCACTTATCTCTAAACTTGTCTTTAAAATATTTTCCCAGTTTTAAAAGTTGAAAAGTTGAAAGGATTCACTGACTTCTACCCCTCAGAAAAACACATTTTCTCTTTTTGTATCAGTAGTAAGAACTTCACTGACCACCCAGGAAAAGCTACCAGAGAATAAGCCTTCTAAGTCCTTAATCTCCGAGGTTTTTAAACTAAAGATCCTAGTTTCAAAAGAGAAACAACATAAACTATTCAGACCCCTTCCCCATGAACGCTGTATCTCTTTTCTACACATAAATCCACTTTAGACTCAGGGTTTGGCTTCAAGACACGCAGTTCCACAGGAAGGTAAGAGAACGTGCCACACCCACCTCGTGGTATTTCTTTGTGACTTTGCTTGGGACACACTGACACTCACTGCAGCTGTGCAGACAGCAGGCGCAGTTGCCCCCGCAGCGTTTGACCAGGAGGCAGCCTGGCCAGAAAATGGTATCGGTTCTCTTTAGCTCTTCCCTGATGGACACCGAGAAGTTCCGAGGCGTGCAGCTGTACAATCTCACCTCCTCTTTTATAAGGTTCAGATCCACCACTATAAGGCACAAAGAAAAGCAAAGAAAAAAAAAAAACTAGATGTTCATGCAGGACTTTTCATAAAGAAATCCCCTTATTTCATGAATAATCACCCTAACAATATCCCTTCTTATTTTTACTAGGTTGTAGGGCTGGACAGCTCGCCCATTGGACGTTCCATTTCGTGGAACACAAAGCTTCATTATGACTTGGTGACCAAGAAAGAGACGCCATTGTGCAATATGCCGAGCAAAGCCAACAAAACAGTTGAGAGCTATAAATAGGAAACTTTATAGAGGGAAAAAAAGGGCTACACCTTTTAACCTTAGTAAAAAAGCAGACAAGGAACACATTGGAGAGAAGGGTGGCTTGTAAAACGATGGATGCATTGATTAAAAAACAAATGTAATTTTTAAAAGGGTAATGGGAGAGAACCATTAATGACCAGTTCACTGAAGCCAGTCAGGAGAAACTTCTACAGTCTGTTTGGCAGGAAGAAACATAAGATACAGAAAGGAGATGAGGAAGGTAGCTGAGTGGAAGATGTGAAAAGATGTGTTTTATTGAACAGCAGAGCTGTTAAAAAAATTGTTAGAGAGCACAGCTCCAAAGGCAGTAGGTGTGTATGCTTTTTGAAATTGAGACTAAGTCCATACTTTTAGATTTCTATCCTCCTCTGCTGAAAGATGGAAGAGATGTCTAATTTGTAACCATTGTCTCCTTGCTTTTAGCAAGCTGTTTAACTAGTTTGTGCTTTATTCTTTTAAATACCTACTTGTAAAGACCAACTACACAAAATATCCTTTCATTAGACGGTTATAGTAAGTCCTCAAAGAGCCATTGTTTTTAACTACAAAATGATAATGACTGTCTCAGGAAAATTGCCTCAAAATAACATACCATGTTTAGTATGAATTTATACATGACACACGAATAGTAGTTAAATATTAGAGTAAATACTTCTTTTTTTGAGACAGTGTCTCACTCTGCAGTTCAGGCTGGCCTTGAGCTCACTTTGTAACCCAGGCTGGCCTGGAACTTGCAAAGATCCTCCTGCCTCAGCCTCCCCAAGTGCTGGGATTATAGGCATGATCCACACCTGGCTTATAATAAATATTTCTAATGTAATTTTCATTTCTGCTTTGCAGTTTTATCTCTTTTGTGTTAGAAATACCACATAATACAATTATCCAAAAAATTTAAGAGGGAGGTTCATATTATGTATATTCTTCAGGGTTCTTTTTCATTAAATAACAATTTTATTGAATGAAAATTTGCACACTGTACAATTTACAAAGTGAAAGTGCACAGTTCTGTACAGCTTAGCACACTGATAGAGTTGTACAGCCTTGACCACAACCAAAGGTAGATCACTTTGGTTACTGCACAGCACAACCTTCCGCCCTCTTGCCATCCTCGCCCACGCCTTCCCCTCTACACAGAAGCCGCCACTTACTAACTTCTGTCTTCATAAATTTTCCTATTCTGGAAATTAATCAAATAATTAATCATTTCTTCTTACTAAAAATGAGCCACGGTCATAGTAACGACAAAGACCTTAACACATCCCAAGCAGGGAGCTCCTGCAAAGGGCTCTCACAACACACCGGAGTGAAACTGAAAACCAACAGCAGAAATGTACTCAGAGAACAGTAACTTTTCTTCTCTCTTTATTCCCATTACTTTCTATTTCACGATATATACACATATTCATTTATATGTTAACTTCTTAATATAAAAGCATGTTGTGCACTTCTTAGCTGGGGAAGAAGAGGAATCTGAAGTTATCTACTCTGTCTAAATTTCAAAGCCCATAAAATCCTAATACCTTTGCAGCTGTGCTTCCCAACAGCTTCTGGTGCTATAATAAAATGTTTTCCGTACATAAAAAGGTTCCTATAGGAATAAAGGGTTCTTTGCTTTTCTAGGAAGTTATTTTGCTTAGGGCTATTATCTAAATTATAAGAAATATGGTTAAATACCTTTACCCTAATCTGAGAAACATTAAAATCATGAATTGGAAGAAATACTTTCAGATTAAAGGTGTGCTCAAATAGTAATAACCATCAGGTGAATCTGATTTTAAAAATTAATTGTTACAGTTTAAATAACTTGAAGATATCACAATAATTAAAACCCAAGTGCTTGCTTTCTTGACATTGTAATATATGTGATCAAGATTTTCCTCACCAAAGAGTCAATTTTAACATTTCTAAGAAATATATTATAAAATTGTGCATATGTAATTGTGAATTACACACATGTTAAGCGTATGATTGTGGACAAGGTAGGTCAAGTATTAGGAATGCACCGAGCCAGACTAATTCAGTGGGTCATTTTACATTATCAGCTAAAAATTATTTCTTCCAATTCAACAGAAAGTAAGTTTTTATTTGAGTGCGGATTTTTAATCTGAAAACAATCCTGTGAAAACTTTCAAGTATTTAAATGGAAATGAGTTCATTCTTGCAAGGGCCCTGAAAAAAAAACAAACTAATTTATCAGTAGTCAAGTTAATGAGATCATTAGGTTAAGTGATGTCACACCTGGTTTAATTTTACCTGGTTTCATTCTGCTGCCCTCAGAGTACATGTGCACATTCCTCTTTAAATGTTAAAAACATAGGCGATCTTATTTGAACCTAGATCTTATTCACCTGGGCAAGGAGGGAGAAAATATGAACTCACAAACACAAAGCTGGCTGCCCAGTTTCCAGTGTTCTTTTGGGGTCTGTCTCCTTTAGAAGGGGAAGGAAGCTCTTAGCTTTCAAAGGGCATTCACCTTCCCCAAATAGCTTTAGATGCACTCTTTCATGAAACCAGAAAATGAAACTGTGTGCGTTCTCTTTAAATGTTTACTTAAGCACAATAAAAGGTTAGATAGATTTCCCAAGTGAAGTAAGTTATGATACCTGCTCCAATGTGAAAATTTAAACACACTTTCAACCTAGCTTCCATTCATTTATCATGTTTGACACAAAAGTCAAAAGCCCTTTCTAAAGTACTAGTTAAGCTTGACTTAGAAAATATCATTTTTCTTTTTTCCTGCAGTAGAAGCCCATGATAAAAACTCTGGGCCAGAGGAAGAATCAGAAGGTAGAGCAGCAGAAAAACATTAATACAAACCACATTGGGCTAAAGAGATAATTAAGGAATTTTAAGTTAGCTTATCATCTTTGCAATTATACGTCCTACTCTTAAGGCTTTAAATTCATATAAGCTTTGTTAAAATAAGTGCTGTGAACATAATATTGTATCATAAATTCTCCAAACATTGTGCAAAACTTCTAGACCAAAAAAGAAAGAAAAAAGAAAAAGAAAAAGTATGATTATGCACCAAGGCATATTTTTATTAGCTTAACTAAAATATTGAGGAAGTTTCTCTGTACAAACTGTTAGTAATATAGAACTCAGCCTTTAGATTATTTTTTCCTTTTTATAATTACTGTCTATGAGAAAGCATACATTATTTTGTGTTTCCAATGAAAAAAAATTTGACCACATCCCTAATCAAAATCATGACTTTTAGTGCAAATTTTGCTAATACTGTAAGTTTTTCTAAGTAAGATAATACTGACATAAAAATTATGGTCACATTTTACTTTGTTAGTCTTTCATTCTTTTAAGACATTCAATCCAAGGATATTGCGTTACCATAATGCAATCTGAGGGTGGTCCTTCTAAGATGAATGTGGTAACACTGTGATATGTTTATTCTGGGGGAAATCTGTTTCAATGTCTAATTAGAAGCTTTTAAAAGTTTTACTCCTGTTCCTTTGTGCAATGATTCTCAAGAGGGGGGTTGCTTTTGTCTACATAGATGTTATACCACACCTGCACTTTAGTTTATGTAAAGTTCCAAAAATATACACTGCTGTTCTCACACTTACTGCATGCTTAAAAAGTTAATAGTTTTGGCAAACTGCAAAAGCCTTCAACTTGGAAAGTGCTAAATGAATATTTGAAAGATCTGGTTCAGCCCTGGATGCTTTTAAATGCACATTAGCCTCCGGCCAAATCTTTGAGAAACAGGCAGAGAGATTTAGGTATAAAGATGTGGCTAGAAGGTAGGATTTTAGGCTAGAATCCAGCAATCAGCTGTCAAAAAAGTAGATCTGAGCTCAGAAACATTTTGTTCACTCCCCTGCTCCTTACAGAGGCACGTGATAATCGATTTCACATTTGCTAACAAGGGCCCTATTCATGGGTGTTTCAGCTTCTCTTGTAGATCTTCGTCTTCCTGGTCCTAAGTGGGAGGGAAGGGAAGTCTTGTTGGTAAGTTATTCATCAAGATCAAATCTCATAAATGTGGAACAGCATTCAGCATCTGGACGGGACTGGGCTGCCCGTGCACTTGAACTTAGATTTGGAAGACTGCTGCAAGGAAACCAGGTCTGCTGGCATGGCAAAATGTGAGGGTGGTGCAGGTCTGAACACGACCTGCTGCGAGAAAAGCTTATGATCCAGAAGGGCTGCAAATCTGTGCTGGAAAAGGCAGGGATCAGATTTCTCTCTGACAAGATTTAGAACAAGTCTGGTGCCATCTGCCCTCATGAATGGCTCCAATTAACTAAACATTGTTCTTTGCACACATTTTCCAACATGGAGTTACCTTCTATAGAATGACCCACGTGCATTTCATTTTTTTTTTTTTTCCAGTACCGGGAATTGAACTCACGACCTCGTGCTTGCCAGGCAGGCGCTGTGCTGCTGAGCTAAATCCCCAGCCCCTGACCCACGTGCATTTCAATGCCCTGACAGACTGGAATGCATGTTTGGGTTCATCTAGTGATTTCTATTGCCTTTTCATTTGTGTCTGATAGGGATGCTTGGCATTTTAGAATTCACTAGGAAATCTAGCTAACCTTATTGAAAGCTCAGTTAACAGTATTTGCACATGCTTCATCATGTGGAATTAGGTTAAGTCATCAGTACTTCTACTCTGAAAAGGAGATATGCATGCTGTTTGGTCAAAAGTGGTAATTCCAAAAGCAAAATGTATAGGAAGAAAAGCCATTACAGCACAGCTTCCTTTAGTTCATGGTTTTCTTGCTATAAATCCTAGCTTGGGAACATTTCACTTCATTTTTTTATTGATCCATTGCTATTTTCCACACAGAACTTTCTAGACCTAAGAAATGTAAATGAATGTAACTGTGTCCCATGGGGGATAAGGTACGAATGAGTTTTATGGAGCCTTCCCCCTTTCTAGTTCCAAATCTTGTTTCTCAGCTATGATAATTACCCTTGAATCTATAAATCAACATGCTCCAAATATAGACTGGAGGTAAGCAATGATTCTTATGAAATGTAATAAAATACTTCATCAGATACCATTTGAGAAGATTTAAAAAAATGATTGCAGTTTTCAGAAGTATCTCTTAAATTACCAAACCCACCGAGTTAGAGTTAAGTGACTACTTTCGCCTCTGTTGTACTCTCACATGTAAATATGTTCAAGTGTTAAGAAAAGGGATGATTTAAGTACATCTATCACTGAAGAATTTTAAACTCTCCCCTTTAGAAGTTGGGGCAGGAGAATCTGAAACATTGGCCCTTGTCTGAAGAGGGAGCTTACCTTTGGATTTTCTTCCAAAAACAAAAGCCTTGCCAAGAAGTTGCCACGAAGGCCTGTACAGATCTTCCAAGTCCAGCTGCCATCTATCTGGCTCGAGATAGCGAATGAGATCTTCTAAGGTACTGAAGGCCGTGACCGCATTGTTAAGCAGGTCCAGTGGCAAGGCCGAAGGGGGTAGCACTGACGGACTCACAGCCTCTGCGACTCGCTGAAAGTAAAACACAGCCCCTGTTAACTACTTTAAAAATGACAGTGTAGGGGCTGGGGATTTAGCTCAGCGGCAAAAGCGCCTGCCTGGTAAGCGCAAGGTCGTGAGTTCGGTTCCCGGTACCGGAGAAAAAATAAAAAAATAAAAAAATAAAAATGACAGTGTATCTCTTCTCTAATTAGAGTGAGTGAGGCTGGAAACACACAGGAAGCAAAACTGCATTCAACTCGACCAGGCGGAATTACTTTGCAAAGATTTCACACAGATTAACTCTGACAGATCTTCTGCAAAATCAAATGAAGATCTTAATTTTCACTACTACGCACTGTGGATATAGATACCTTCTGTTTATTTAAAACTATCTCCACAATCTGATTATGGATATACAATGAAAAATGTAATAAAATTTTCCTAATTCTAATTTTACCTTCTAATTTGTAATATTCCTCATTCTAGAAACTAGCTTGGCAGTTATGAAAGTCAGAGCCAGATGAATTTAAAAATTAAAACAAAATACCTCATAAGAACTACAATAAAATATAGGAGATACTTCTTTGGCACTGGTGAAAAACTTTTTTCTTAAGATAGAAAATGCCTAAATCATAAATGATCAACCTGATAAATCTGTCTACACTTTTGTGTTTTTTTGGTACCAGGAATTGAACTCAGGACCTCACACATGCCAGCAGGCACTGTGCCAATGAGCTATATCCCCCACTGTCTATATATTTTTTAACACAAAAGACTTAATAAGATTAAGAAACAGGAGGAGAGAGAGTGGGAAAATACTTTGTCAACCAACACATGTGACAGCCACCACAGCAGTGTACAGAACACACCAAACCAGAAAGGGTAATTCCATAGGGAAAAAAGACAAGCAAACTTTGAGACAAGAAACTTGAAACTATGCTATAAGAATATGCCTAATAAATAAAAAATGCTGAAATATAAATAATAGGTTCAATTTCATCACCTCATGCAAAACAAAAATAAGGTATTATTTCACATTGGCTAAAGGACATCCTACTTCCCATAGGAAAGGTCGTGAAGAATTTAAAATGGGATGCTGAGGACGTGGGCAGCGTGGTACTCCTGGGCTCAGCCGCGGAAGGAGAGCAGGGCACTTCCCTGCGGCTGATGGACCCGCTGTGCACGGAGCGCCTCTGTGATCAGCCTTCGGTCGGTCTACAGCCTCTCACCTACGCGCTTGAAGTGCACGCACTGACAGTCACAGCAGCCTCGTCCGGAATAGAGACACCCTGGACGCAACCTACCTGCCCAATTATGGGGGACGCATTAAAGCATATCTAATTAAGGGGCAGGCTCCAAGTGATTTCAGTAAAAGCAGGGGCTTTTAAAGCTCAGGAAGAACCATGCTTTCCCAGTTTTCAATGTGTAGGGAGTTGCATATCAGAGTTGAAATTGAAATATGCAAAAAGAAACACAGAAAAACATAAAATAAAACATGTATGTTTGTTGATGTTCATTTTTAGCACTCTTTGTAACAATAAAATTCTAGCAGGAAATTAAATGTATTTATTAACTTAATTAATTAATTAATTATGTAGCCTGAAGTCTCATTATGTAGCCCCAGCTGGCCTTGAATTCCAAGTGATCCTCCTGCCTCAGCATCCCAACTGCTAGGATTACAGGCATGCACCACCACAACTGGTCCTGGAAATTAAATTTATAATAGTGGAACAGTTCACTATGCTATTCAGAAAGTGAAACAGTGTGCCGCCATTAAAAATGATATTTCTAGCAATTTTTATTAACAAAAGATGGCGAAAACTGTTAAGTACATAATACAGTTCAATACAAGTATACATACATACATTTTTAACATACTGTGATTCTACTATGCAGAAATAGAAATAAAATAAAAAGACACAAAGGTTTGTACAAAGATTGCTTAGCTATGGTTTAAACCACAGTGCATGCTTTCTTTTTAATGTTTTCAATGTTTTCTAAGTAACTATGGTTTCCTTTTAGAAGTCAGGTTGAAATAATATTTCTTACAATAAAACACTCTCATAGCAGCTCTTCCTTCTCTTTACCATCCCTCAGAAGCTGGGCTAGACACTACAAACCACGTCCTGAGCTTTGCAGCTTCTGACTTTATCTCCTTGCCGTCCAACTTTTCCTCCAGTCCTTCAGCGCTGTCTTAGTGGGGTTAATCTCCCTAAGACAAGATGTCATCGCTCATGTGATCATCTACACAATAAAACCCAAATTCCTTAGCGACACCGAGGGCCCCAGCTCTGACCTGGGCTCATCTGCCCATCTAAGCCTCTCCTCACCAAAACCAGGCATCTTCCTTCCCAGGCAACCGGGTCTCTTCGCTAGCTATCACACATGCACAGCTGAGACTGTGTCTTTACCATGCTAGATTCTGCACCTGTGGACCCACATGCTAAGCCTTCTTCATTTATAATGGGCTTTACAAAGCCCAGTCGAGCCAGGAGTCCGTCCACAGCATCGGGACCGCTGCTGTCTCATACACAGTGTGGCATCCACTGATGGCACTCCTCTCTGCACTGCCCAGGCCTCTGGTCGGAGTAGCAAGAGGCGCTCTGTAAATTGAATGATGAGGCCCTTTAAAATAGCTACTGCAGGGATGCTGGTTTTGCTGGGACTCAGTGCACCTGGGTCACTGGCAATGTTCTCCGAGCTCAGGCTAGGAAGAAGTGAGGGCGGGAGCTTTGGGACGGCAATTCCTCACCTTGTTTTTATTTTGAAGGCTTCATTTCACATTGTTGAGGACCTGATTACAGTATTTTTTCCCTGCTCAAATCTTTTTTTAAAATTTTATTTTAAAAAGAATTAAAAGATTTTTAAAAACATTAAAAATGATGCAGAATTTCAAAACAAGATGATGGGAAATTAATAATATGTTGTTATATTGCATACTGTTACTTCAAAGTAGTTGCTCAGATTATCAGATACAAGCATGTAAAATGATCAGTTAAGCATTACCTGTGCCTTTCAATAAACCAAAAGAAATTAGTAGTACAATTATCTTTAGTTATAATATTAAGACCACGAAATTTTCTAGTTACGTTATAATGTTTTGTTTTAACAACTAGACTGCTAAGCTTTTGAAAAGTAGAAACTAAATCAAGTATGTTTTTAATTTACCTAATAAATTTTCTCATTGTCCATAAAACACAAAATTGCTTTAGTGGAGAATATATGATGATTGATAATTACACAACAGATGTAAATAAACAAGGTTTAATAAAGATTTGCATTTTTAATGTAACCAAACTGGCTTATAGTGAGTTTTCTAATGTGAGAAAGTTGATGCAGGTGTTTTGCAAATGTAAAAGAAAATAAGCCATAATGCCTATGTCTTTATAAACGAAAATCAAAAAGGTCAGTAAGCCTCACAGAATAACTGAAGTCTGGCCCAGCGGTGCACACCTGTAATCCTAGCACTCTGGGAAGCTGAAGCAGGATTACTGCAAGTCAGAGCTCAGCCTGGGCAATTTAGCAACTTAGTTTGAAAAAAAAAAAAAGGCTGGGGACCTAGCTCAGGATAAAGTCGGAGGAACTGCGTACCACAAAAAGAAAAGAAGTGTCTGAACGTTATTGTGATTATGATGGTAGAAAACGTATCAAAAGCTTTACAATCTGCGAGCAGAAAGTAAATAGTTATAGAAAAGCCATACACAAAGTACAAATTAAGTGTGACATTGCAAGTGTACCTTATAGGTATGATATAAAATGGTTATTTAGGCTAATTTCAATTCGACCCAGACCCAGCAATGAGCTGCTTCACTTGTTTTCCAAGACTGTTAGAAACTGCTTGAATTGAGAATTCCTTGTGAAACAATGAAAAACTACAAACTAAATCAATGGTTACTGAGATAAAGCTTAGGATATTAACCCCAAAGAAAGTGACACAAAATGATCTTGTGATATTGAGCAAACTTTGCATTTAGCAAAGTATCAGGATGTATCATTTCCTCACCTGAGGCAAAGGTTGGGAGGAAAGCATCTTACCACATGTTCCTGCAGGTATAGACTGATTAGGGTCGAAAGCCTCCAAGCTACTAAACATTTAAATTTAGTTAAACTAAAAGAAAAAATGCTCCAGGTCTCTGTATATCATCTCCACCCTCCCCCCACACCAAAGAGAAAATTAGGATAGGAATTAACACATTGTCCTTGGACTCAAAAAATAAGACCAGACTAAAGAGAAAATTCTGTGTTTCTATTTAAGATCTGTCTCATCACCACTGCCCCACCTTCCAGTTCAAGGAACAACCAAGTCGCTCACTTTCAAAGTTCTGCTTTTCCAATGAGAAACAAGAAGTTACAGGAAAAAAAGTGTCCTCTAAATTGTTATTTTCCTGTTACACAATGCCAGGTTCAGCACAGACTAGTGGCTTTTCCCCCTACAGTTAGCATGAGGAGAATTCTAACAGTATCTTTGATATTTAAAAATCCTCTCCTTGGGCTGTTAAGCTGGTTAGAAAATATTTATATTTGATGCCTTGGCTTGAATTGGATTTTCATGTTCCCTATTTTGTGGTTTTATGCTTGTAAAAATAGACACTTGCAAGTTATGAGTTGCCCTAGCTCATCATCCACTATGGATGGTGACAGAAAGCAGAATGTCTGGTGCGAAGAACCATGTCCCCAGCCTCGCCTAGCAGGCAGAGGGAGTCTTGCCGGAGCCTGGAGCTCCGCAGGTGGAGCTGAAAGAGACCTTGGGCAGACACTCTGCTCCAGTGTCCTCCTCTGTAGAGTGAAGGAGCTAAACTAAGTGACCTTCCAGTTTCCCAGCAACTTCTCCATTTAAACATCCTACATGACGCCAGATCCAAGGGTCCGCAGAATCATCTAGAGAGCTTCAAAAGCACCATGTACTACTTACGTCTACGACGAGGCACAGGTCTAGTTTTCCATGTTTTCTCTTGGGAGTTTTCCCTGTTGCTTTACGATGTCAGTGAGTTTAGGAAGACACTGCTGTACATCATACAAGTAACTTTCTA